TTTCTTTGCTGTTTCCTGTAAGAACTTTACTTTCATTTTCCCTCGAATCTCTGGATCTTTGCTCTTGCCAGTTAAACTGATCTTTGATCTTTGTTAAACCAAGTGAATCCTAACCAATTCTGCCTCTGGTGGCCTTCACTTTTCTCCAAAGAACCACAGCTTCCCCATTGGGGTTAGAGGTATGTTCAGTAGTTTGTAGAGTGCAAAGTTTGGGAGATTTTTGACAAAAACCAGATTTTTCTTGGGTAGATTGCTTGGAAGACTTTTTCAGGAAACAAGCCCTGCCTGAAGGTTTCTACTGTTTGTATTGACTGGGGCTAGTCTAGGAGCAGCAGGGGGTGGGGGTAGGGGTGGAGGATGATGGCTGGATAGAAAAAGGGTGCTAAGCCAGGAGAAGTAACCTTTGGAAACGTTAAGTTGGGGTCTGGAGTGATAGTACAGCAGGTCAGGTGCTTCCCTTGCAGGTGGCAGACCTGGATTCAAATTCCAGCACCACATAGGGTTCCCTGAGGCCTGCCAATGTTGTTGGGTCCCACAGGTGACTCATTTGAAGTGGGGAGGAGAAAGATGGTCACTGTCTCCCCATCTGCTTCTACCACACAGGACCCGCGGTTACTGGGTTGTCTCACCTGTAGCAGTGAAGTTACACTGTTTTTATTTGAAAGTTTTGAAGGGAAAGAGGGAGAGAAAGTGGAAAAGAGTGGAGGGCAATGTGCTCAAGAGATAACCTTGGCTTCTCCAAGGACTGACAGAGAGAGAGAGAGAGTTCCTACACACATTCCAGCATTAGACAGGAAAGCATGAAAGTACACATCTCTAGAGGGGAGATGCGGGCGACACATGTGCTCAATCATCCCATATGGTTGGCTACGTGGGCACAAGCAGCACATGGACTCGGGCAGCATGCGTTTGCCACCTTTGTTCAAGGTGGCCAATATGCTCTACTTGAGGTCTTTGAAAGAATTCTAAACTATTTATCATAGATCCAGGCAAGTGTGTGTGTGTGTGTGTGTGTGTGTGTGTGTGTGTGTGTGTATGTGTTTGGGGTGGTGGTCAAGGAAGGGCAGGAGGAAGAGGAGGGGGCATGTGAGCTTATTTAAACAGGATAGCACAGCGGTAGGGCATTTGCCTTGCAAGCGTCCAACATGGCCGACCCGAGTTTGATTCCTCCGCCCCTCTCGGAGAGCCTGGCAAGCTACCGAGAGTATCTTGCCCGCACGGCAAAGCCTGGCAAGCTACCCGTGATGTATTTGATATACCAAACACAGTAACAATTGTCACAATAGAGACGTTACTGGGCCCACTTGAGCAAATCGATGAACAACAGGAGGACAGTGACAGTGACAATGACAGTCTCTGTTATATTAAAAAGAAACTGTTCCTTAATCTTAAAAAAATTAAAATATGCAAAATAAAGGATTGCCTTAATGGCAGTGCTATCTGTGATAGATTTTTCTCTTTGAAATTAGCTTTCAATTGCATTTGTTACTTCCTGGGAGAGGTTTGGCACCATTCTTCAAACTCTCCCAAATCCAAGTGTCATTATGCTGGTTAATGGCATTGATCTAAATCCAGGTTACTAAGAAAGTGCTTACAGTAGATACACATAAACTCCAGTTAATAATGTCTTGTTTGGATGCTCCCTTTTTCCCTTTCAGTTCCACATTTCTCAGGTGTATTCAAAATACTCACCTTCATGTTTTCTGCTAAAATTGTTGAATATTCTTTTATTTTCTCCATTGTTTAATTTTCTTTATTTTGGTTTTTGGCCACACCCTGCAGTGCTCAGTGTTTACTCCTGGCTCTGTACTCAGGGCTCACTCCAGGTGAAGCTCAGGGGATTATATAGGATGCTGAAGATTAAACCTAGGTCAGCCTCAATGAAGGCAAGCATATTACCTGCTATCTACTCTCTTCCTGGTCCCATATATTATCTTTCTGGTCCCATATTCTGTTCTCATAGTTTACCTGTTACTTTGCATGCATATGATTATTTGATTTTCTACTGTATTTTACATGAATACTAGGTTTTTAAGTGACTTAAATATTACTTAGATTCATGAGTTTGAGTATTAGTCCTCTTGTAGTCATGAGAAAATTTTTAAAACTTGACATTTATTTGTGATATTGTATGATCATAATGAGTAAACATATGCTTTTTACCATTCTAGCACCTGACACATGCTCACCTACACACATAAGTGTGTATTGTGTAGTCCTCAGTACATTTCTAAGTAGTCAAGGTGAAATTTAGCGTCCCAAATACTTAGATTTCCTAGAAATCATCATCTAGTCTGGTTCTCTTCACTTCCACATCCCTAATGTTCTGGGTATTGAACATTCAACAGAAAAGAAACAGGTCTAATTGTTTTGAATTTTGAGAGGGTGGGGCGGAGGGGAATTGGGTCACACCTAGCAATACTCAAGATTAACTTCTGGCTTTGTGCTCAGGGAACACTCTTATTGGTACTCTAGGGATCATCGGTGTGTGGTGCCAAGAACTGAACAGGGGTCAGTCAAGTACAAGACAAGAGACTTAATTCCTGCACTCAGGGACTTTTTTAAACCAAATTATTCACAAATCTGGTGCATGGCCAATGTAGGGGTAGAAACATTCTGAAAAATGTATAAAATGATAGCAAAAGAAAAGATTATTCTGAATAAAAGACTTCTCCAGGGAGAAGTTAGAGAATCTTATGTAGATTATTTACACTAACAAAGAAAGTACTCCTTTGGAATAGATTGGAAATTAGGTCACGAGTTCGGCATAGTTCGACAGACCTTTAGCATAATTGACTCAATTTTCATCTGATTGTTTTTTAACAATATTAATTGAGTTAACAAACAGTATTAACTGAGTTAGTTGGATTCTTGATTTATATCACTGTATCACTGTTATCCTGTTGTTCATCGATTTCCTCGAGCAGGCACCAGTAACATCTCCTTCATCCTAGCCCTGAGATTTTTTAAAGTGCCACATTTGAGGCTCTTTCAGGGTCAGGAGAATGAGACCCATCATTGTTACTGGGTTTTGGCATATTGAATATGCCACAGGGAGTTTGCCAGACTCTGCCGTGTGGGCAGGATACTTTTAGCAGCTTGCCAGGATCTCCAGAGTAAGAACTAGATACACCAGTTGGTGGGTGTAATGCCTACATACTGGAAGATAGGGGATCTGGGTGGAGGAGGCCCAGTCCCAATCCAAGCAGGCTTGGAGAGCTATGCCCCAGATCCTGCACACCTGGTTCCTCTGCCAGTTTCTTCATGAGTGAGGGTCGTCCCAACATGTGGAGTGTGGTCTTAAGCATGACTGTGGCTGGAACCGGAGGTCTTCAACTGCTGGGGCTCTGCTCAAGGCAGGGAGGGAATCTCAACTCGCCCTCCTCCAAGGAGCCCTGGTGAGGACAGCCAAGTGTGGAGGCAGGAGACTCTGTGCTGTTCTTTTCCAGGAGCTGGGTTTTATAGTCTCTGGGTCTTGGCCATTGATGGGATTACACGGCACCAGGGGCAGTTGGTGGGTGTAACGCCTACATACTGGATGATGGGGGATCTGGTTGGAGGAGGCCCAGTCTCAATCCAAGCAGGCTTGGAGATCTACACTTGATTCCTCTGCCAGTTCCTTAATGAGTGAGGCTCGTCCCAACATGTGGAGTGTGGTCTCAAGCATGGCTGTGGCTGGAACCGGAGGTCTTCAGCTGCTGGGGCTCTGCTCAGGGTGGGGAGAAAAACTCAACCCACCCTCCTCCAAGGGGCCCCGATGAGGACAGCCAGGCGCAGAGGCAGGAGACTGTGCTATTCTCTTCCAGGAGCTGAATTTTATAGTCTCTGGGTCTTGGCCATTGATGTTTTCAATTCTATCTATTAAGTAGGAGATAGCCCTCTATTAGGAGATACCCAAATAGATACTTCATTCCAATTTCCAATTCTGTGTATTGAAGATCTATTTTATGAACATTGTATATCACTTTTCGTTTCTTCTTGGTGTGGGGAACACACTCAACAGTGCTCAGGGCTTATTCCTAGCTCAGGGATCACATCTAGAGGTGCTGCTAAACCATATGGTGTGATAGGGATTTAATCCAGGTTGACAAGTGCCTGTACCATTTTTCTGCTGCCATATGCCACTCTTTTTTTTTTTTTTTTTTGCTTTTTGGGTCACACCCAGCGATGCTCAGGGGTTACTCCTGGCTCATGCACTCAGGAATCACTCCTGGTGGTGCTTGGGGGACCATATGGGATGCTGGGAATCGAACCTGTATCGGCCATCTTGGCTGCATGTAAGGCAAACGCCCTACCCACTGTGCTATCGCTCCAGCCCCCATATGCCATTCTTATCATCTGTAGTTTAACCTTTGATGAAAGGGTTCGTTCTTACCATTATATACTCATTATATCACAATAATGAGAAAAATCATTACAAATGTGTAGTAGTAACAGCAATGGTTACAATATAGATAAATTTTCAAGTAAGAGACCATGTAAGAAAGAGTATTCTGAAATGAAAAATGAATCATTGTATGTCAGCAGCAATAATTCATGGTTGGAGAGTAATAGACATAAAAGCCCTAATTGAAGTGGCTGGGTTTTTTTTTTAACATTGAAGATGAATTGGAGCATGGGGAGGGAAAAGGTTGATAATTAATGTTCTCACATGATCTTGGTAGAAAAAACCTTGGTTTGTCCTTTTGTTAAATCAGAACAAAGAAAATAAAGTATACAGGTAAGAATGGGATTTATTGTGTGACATGTACTAAAGATTTAGTGAAATTTTTATGAAAAGTGATTGTTGTCAGGTCTTCAAGCTCTTTTTCTTGTTTCTCACCTTTTTCTTTTTTTCTCTTCATTTTTTGCCTGTTTTTGATATCTACACAATATTAGATCTCAAGATATTTTACACCTACCTTTATCACTCTGCCCCATTCAACATCCTAATTTTGCAGAAAACTGTGAAGAAAAGACCGTCCTAAGTCAGAGTAACTATGAGCAGAGGAACAGCAGCTATGGCTACAGAAATCCTGAGAAACTTACAGGAAGACGTAACCTGCCCCATTTGCCTGGGACTCCTGAGAGAACCATTGAGCCTGGAATGTGGCCACAGCTTCTGCCAACTTTGCATCACTGCAAACAGCCAGAAGTCAAGTCAAGCAGGGAAGAACAGCTGTCCTGTATGCAGAACCATTTATGATCCTGGGAACATGAGGCCTAATTGGCATCTGACCAATTTAGTAGAGAGGCTCAGAGGAGTCAATTTAAGCCAAGAGGAGGAAGAAAAGAAAGATCTCTGTGCACGCCATGGAGAGAAGTTGCTGCTCTTCTGTAAGGAGGACTGGATGCCTATTTGCTGGCTGTGTGAACGGTCTCAGGAACACCGTGGTCACCACACTGTCCTCACTGAGGAGGCCGCCAAGGAATGCAAGGTACGAGACCAGGAAGGGCAGAATACATGGGACTGATTACCTTGGCAGGAGAGCCCAGAGACCTGTAGATTTTTTTTCTGTGCTTAGTTCATCTGATGTCTAGAGAACATGTTTGTGCATTACAGTTACAGAAAAGGTTAACCTAAAATACAGACTTAGCCAAAAGTTTGAAACTTGTCCTAGATATGGTACATTAGGTGCTTCAGAAAAGCTCGTATCACCTTTTTGAATAGGCGAAGTGAGAGACAGGTGAATTATGATGTAAATTCTTCCCTTATAGCAGGAGTAGATTTGTTTTGTAAGAAAGAGAAATTATTCTCTTTGGGACAGATGGTGATCTTTGCTCGAGCGGGCCCAGTAACGTCTCCATTGGAGACTTTGTTGTTACTGTGTCTGGCATATCGAATACTCTCGGTAGCTTGCCGGGCTCTCCGAGAGGGGCGGAGGAATCGAACTCAGGTCGGCCATGTTGGCTGCATGCAAGGCAAACGCCCTACCACTGTGCTATCGCTCTAGCCATATATATATATATATATATATATATATATACACACACACATATATACATATATATATAAAACCACTATTATGGTGATCTTTAATTTCTACTAAATCTTCACGTATTATTATGTTGACAATTTTGTCCAGTAATGCGTTTATTTTTATTTATTTATTTATTTATTTATTTCTATCCCTCCCTCCCCCCATCTCCCCATCCCACCCTACCTCTGTGGCAGGGCATTCCCTTTTGTTATCTTTCTCCTTTTGAGTGCTGTGGTTTGACACTGAGTGGCAATCTTGTTCGGTCTATAGTCTACTCTCATCACGCATTTCCCATCCTGAGAGAAACCTCCCAGCACCCTTTATTTGGTGCTCCCTTCTCTATCTCAGCTGCCTTTTCCCCTAGCATGTGCATCTGTCCTCAAAACCATGAAGTAATCCTCCTGGTACTTATCTCGGATGTTCTTGGGTGTTAGTCTCCTATTTTGTTACTTTATGTTCCCCAGATGAATGCAATCTTTCTATGTCTGTCCCTTTCTTTCTGACTCATTTCGCTTAGCATGATACTTTCCATGTAGTACCACTTATATATGAATTTCATGACCAGTCATAGGTTTTAATTAATTACTTTTATTTAGAGCTTCTAAAACTTAATTTATTAGAAGATTGATATTATTTCTTCCTCATTCATCTTATATTCACATGCAGATAAATCTCAAGTTTTAAATCAATTTTTATTTCTTTTCTAAGGAAAAGCTCCTGGCATCTCTGGAGCAACTGAGAAAGAAGCAGCAGGAAGCCGAACAATTTGAAACTGCTCTCAGAGAACACAGAACTTCTTGGCAGGTAGAGAAACTTTCTGAAGTGTCAGACAGAGTTTCTTGGCAGAGGAGAAACTTTCTGAGGAAATGAGACAAATTGAAAACTTGAGTTTTAGGAAGATGAAGTTCCTTTCTTATTTTTCTTCATTATTAGTAGGCCCAAAGGACATTTGACTATCTATTCTTAGTTCTTCCCTGATATATGTAAGGATTGGAAGGTGATCCTGTTCATTTGGTAATATTAATATAGGAGTATTATATTTGAAGTTCCTATTGAGGGAGTCACTGGTAAAGATAGCTAGTAAAGTCCCTGTCACATTCCTATCATTAAAAAAAAAATTGGGGGCCACACCCAGCAATACTTGAGGGTTACTACTGAATTTGTAACCAGGAATTACTCCTGGTGGTGCTCTGGGGACCACTAGATGCAGGGGATCAAACCCAGGTCAACTATGTTTTTTAAATCAACATTTCTGGAGAATGTGTTCCACTTATGGCTCCTGGTTTAGTCTTTCTTCAGTGTGAAATTTTGCAAGAAAATAGTAGCTAATTTCAGGAAATAAATTACCCAGGCTAGGAGGTAAAAACTATGTCACATCCCCACACTCCTTTTTGGCTCCGAATTGGCCTCAATATTATAGATCTAAGGCCATTGTTTTTGACTCTAATGTGGGGAAGTAATCTAAAAAGTAATCTGTCTTAAAGAATGGTTCCTGTTGTTTTAATTTCCTTAGAGAACTTTTCAATTAGTATAGTTATTTTTTTCTGGCTGCTAGTCTCTGCCTTATATCCTGACTACCTTTAACTCTTTCTCATTCTTTAAGAATCAAATAGAAAAGGAGATTCAAAGTGTCCAGAAGACATTTAAAGAAATAAGAGATATGATGGATTTGGAGGAACAAAAGGAGCTGCAAAAGCTGAGGGAAGAAGAGAAAACAATTCTCCATGACCTGGCAGAGTCTGAGAAGGAGCTGGTTCAACAGAGTGAGTTTACAAGAGGTCTCATCTCGAATCTGGAGCACAAACTACAGGCATCAACAAGAGAGATGTTGCACGTAAGACTTGGGAAGGAACCCCAGACCCTGAGATTTGAGAGAAATGAGAACCGTTTTTCCCTTCCCTTCTTTATTGCTGTACTCTGACACTAAGATTCTTTGTTCCTGTGGTATATATTCTCTGAATTTATTTCAAAGGCAATTGAAACAATTAAAAGCCCGAGTAACAAGAGAAAAATCTCACTTATATTAAGTTGTCAAGTTCAGGGTAAAAACTAGACCACAGATCCAGTGCTTTTGAGGTACCCTTTAAATTCCTGTCACCTGGGAACCAGTAATGTGAAGAAATAACCAGATAAATAATTTTCCAGGATTTGCTATCAGCAAATGCACTTTGTATTCTGAGGCTTTTTCTTTCCTCAAAGATAGAATTTTTCCCTCTTTTCCAGTTTTCTGAAAATAACTTATGAATGGCAGTATTACTTTTTCTTTATTCAGTAGAATTCACCATGTAGGTATCTCAGGGTTCTTTTATTAATATTTAATGCATATTTTTGTTTTTACTTGTATCAGGTTTATACTTTTTTTTTTACTGTTTGAGAGTTCATTTTTGTCAGTATTATCTTTGGAGAAGTTTGTTTCAGCTATCTGAAATTTAGAAATAAAATTAGTCTTAAAATTTTCTTATTACATCATTAATTTATACACGGGCTGGAGCGACAGCACAGCGGGTAGGGCGTTTGCCTTGCAAGTGGCCAACATGGCTGACCCGAGTTCGATTCCTCTGCCCCTCTCAGAGAGCCTGGCAAGCTACCGAGAGTATCTCGCCTGCACGGCAAAGCCTGGCATGCTACCCGTGACGTATTCGACATGCCAAACACAGTAACAATTGTCACAATGGAGATGTTACTGGGCCCACTGGAATTTTTACAGAACCCTTAGTTAATAGAAGCACAGAGATAGTACAATGAGTGACGTGCTTGCTTTTCACACATTTGAGTTGTATCTGATCTCCAGCGCCACGTATAATCAATCCTCTGTGCTTCATTAGGAATGATTCTGAGCAGAGCCAGAAGTAATCCCTGAGTATTACAGGATGAGGTCCAAATACCAGGAAATAAAACCAAAAAGAAAAAAAAAAGATAAGAAAAGAAAACCCCTCAATAATAGACTATTTTTATTTGTGTGAATTTTTTTTCTATTTCTTGATCTAGTTCTTTCATAAACTTTATTGTTTTTTCAAGACCACATCTTTTTGTTGTTGTTGTGTTGCTGTTTGGGGGCCATACTGGGTGATGCTCAAGGGTTCCTCCTGGCTCTGCACTCAGGAATTACTCCTAGTGGTGCTTTACTCTCTGTACTCTCACTTCAGCCCCCAAACAAACCTTGTTTTAAGACTTTTAAAAAATGTTTATATTATTTACTTATGGATTACTATTATTATTTTCTGTGTATATACACACAATTGGATACTACTATTACAGTAGGTAGGGCGTTCACCTTACAAGCGGCCGACCCGAGTTCGATTCCTCTGCCCCTCTTGGAGAGCCCGGCAAGCTACCGAGAGTATTCGATATGCCAAACACAGTAACAACAAAGTCTCCAATGGAGACATTACTGGGCCCACTCGAGCAAATTTTTCCTTTACATTTTCCGAGTTAGAAACTTGGAAAACTTTTTTGACGATTTTTTTTCTAAGATATTATTTAATGATACAATGCACTGTTATAGTTGTAGTCCTTACACAATGATTGTTTTTTGATTTCTTTTAGCCTAGCATAATTTAAAATTCTCAAAATTTTTTGATTATATATTATTTTTTAAAGCAAGTTGCTTAATGTAGCAACTTCTTGGTAATTTACTACTTTATTTTACCATCAAGGGACCCAGACCCGGCAGCCAACCTCCACTACCCAACCACCGCCACGCTCCAGGCCACTTTCTGGACAAGTTATAAAATACTTTCTACCCATTTTTCATAATTACTACTCCATATCTTATGGGGTCCAGACAGTAGACAACAAATCATAGAGAAAAATATGTTAATACATGCCTATTGGAGAGCCCGGCAAGCTTCTGAGAGTATCCTGCCCGCAGAGGCAGATCCTGGAAAGCTCCCTGTGTCGTATTCGATATGCCAAATACAGTAATGACAACAGATCTCATTCCTCTGACCCTGAAAGAGCCTCCAATTATTGGGAAAAGATGATTAAAAAGAGACTGCTAAAATTTCAGGGCTGGAATGAATAGAGACATTACTGGTGCCCAACAAGTAAATCAAAGGTCAATGGGATGACAGTGATGTGACAGTGATTTTACCATAAATTTCAAAATTATTTCATTTCTAGTGAGAGACCATGTACTTACAATATTATATATACATCTATTTAAATATATCGACTTTTTTCCTGAGTTTTTTTTCTTTTATAGCCACTCTGAAAGATGTATCTTTTGAATTAATTAACTAAAATGGTTAATTTATGTCAATTAGATCACTCTGGTTATAGTACTACTATATATTGTAAACAAATATTTCAAGAATAAATTTTTAAGTTTTTCACCTTTCTAATATAGGTTTTCAACTTTTCCTAGTTTTTCTCTAATGATAATATTCCCTTTCTTATCATGACTATTTCATATTGATACTGAATTAATTCTAGAACAACCTACTACATCACTGTGTAGCAAATAGTAGCAAAGTGCTACTATTAATACGAATCTTGTGTTTTTGATTGTTTGCTTGATTTTTAGGCGAAAACTGGCAGTGTTCAGGATTTACTCCTGGCTCTGCAAGGGATGGAATGGAGCAATAGCACAGTGGGTAGGGCGTTTGCCTTGCACATGGGCAACCAGGGTTCAATATCTCCATCCCTCACCAAGAGTCCGGCGAGCTACCGAGAGTATTCTGCCCGCATGGCAGAGCCTGGTCAGCTACCTGTGTTGCATTCGATATGCCAAAAACGGTAATAACGAATCTCACAATGGAGACGTACTGGTGCCTGCTAGAGCAAATTGATGAACAATGAGAGGACAGTACTACAGTGATAGTGCTACAGTGCTGCCAGGGCTCAGGGGACCATACACATACGTGGTGTTAGAGATTAAACATGGGTCAGCTGTGTGGAAGGCAAGCACTAATCCCTATGGGTCCTTTTGTTTGTTTTGATTTGTGTTTTGGGGCCATACTCGTCGATGCTCAGGGGTTATTCCTGGCTCTGCACTCAGGAATTGCTCTTGGCAATGCTCCGAGCACCATAGGGGATGTTGACAATCAGAGAGAACTCAGGGTCACTGCAAGCAGGGCAAGCACCTTACTTGCTGTACTATCTTTCCAGCCCCTCCTTCCAGATCCTTAATATGGACCCTTGACCCAACAAAAGCCAATGCTATGCAGCCACAGAAATTTTTGTTTTAATTCTGTAAGGAAGTCTTCCCCTCACACCCTATAATTCTGTTAATATTTTGTTTCCTTCAGTGAACTAAGAATAAGGTCACTGCATCTATTGTACTTCATAAGGCAGTACTGAGAATGTGATGAACCCCTGTGAGTGGAGTGAGTTTATTATTTCTTGACTCATATTTTCTCTTTTCTCTCTAGAATGTGAATGATGTCATAAAAAGGTATGTATGGAAGATCAGAAATGATTCTTTTGTGCAGTGAAAAGAAATTTAATATCATTATAGCCATCAGGTGATGAATAAGAATAAAAAATAACTCTCCATAGTTTTATATCAGATTTTTATCCCTGAATCTTGGCTTTTATGATCTCTAAGTATTGAGAATGGACTTGTCTGGTAAAGAATTTAGGTGAGAGGATGTTTCAGAGTTTGGATGAGTGACACTTTTAGAGATGTTAAATCAGAGTGTTTGTGATGACTTAATTTTACCCTGTTTCTGAATCTAACTCAGATATTTGCATTAAGATAGGAAAATGTTTGCTTTATTTGCTAAATATCCAAAATTAGAGATTTTGGATATTTAGCAAAAACTGACCCTTTTTAAAAAAATGAATATTATTCTTGATGGCATTATTAAAAATGATTACATTAGCAACAAAAAGGTGTTTTCCTGAGTTGAAGTCAGAGGCAGTTACTCCTCAGTGTTAAAACAGTGTACAATATTAGCATTAAAGTGTTATTATACTTTGCATTGTCTTTGCCAGTTTTAATCTTCAACAATTTTATTGAGCAAAATAAGATAAAAGATTACATGTTTATCTTCAGGAATGTAAAAGTCTACTTATTCAAACAGTTTTTTATTATAAAACTAAACTCTCAAGGTGTCTACAGAGTTGGCTTTTGTCTCTGAATCAGTAAGCTAACAAGGAATAGAAAGACAAAATTTCAGTGTTTCTGACCAAGGAGAAAGAGTGAAAACACTAATAAGGCTAAATTTGGCAAAATATAATACAATGTCTTCTGTTATCTTTGAATAGGTTGCCAGTCACTTCCCTCTGAATCCTTTGTTGTTTCTGCTTTGAGAGTCGTTGGTTTATTTTCTGAAGCAAATGCTGTAACTGATTTCCATGTACAGGCATTGCCTCCTTCTTAGAAGACTCCATTCCAGGACCCCCATTACTTTCTCAGTAACAGTAGTGTCTCCAGCAGCTTTGACAATTTTCTTTTAGATTTTTATTAGTGAAACACCATGACATGGTACAGTTGTAGATTTACAAATTTTTGTGCTTGGGTTTCAGTTATACAATGATTGAATACCCATTCCTCCACCAGATGACTGGTTAAAGAAACTTTGGTACATCTACACAATGGAGTACTATGTAGCTGTTAGAAAAGATGAAGTCATGAAATTTATATACAAGTGGTACTACATGGAAAGTATCTTGCTAAGCGAAATGAGTCAGAAAGAGAGGGACAGACATAGAATGATTGCGTTCATCTGGGGAACATAAAGTAACAAAATAGGAGACTAACACCCAAGAAGAGCAGAGATAAGTACCAGGAGGTTTACTCCATGGCTTGGAGTGCAGCTGCACATGCTAGGGAAAAAGGTAGCTCAGATAGAGAAGGGAGGACCAAATAAAGGGTGTTGGGAGCTTTGACAATTTTTGACTGGATAAGATCCAGTGATTGCTGAGCCTTATGCAAGTCACCAGCTACCTTCTGTCTTTCACTTTATTCAGTTCTAAGTCTTGTGAGTGGTTCATTTAACTGCCTTTTTTTTGAATTTAGTTTTTTTGGGGAGTCACATCCAGCGATGATCAGGGGTTTCTGGCCCTGCACTCAGAAATCACTCCTGGCAGTGCTCAAGGGATCATATGGTTTTCTGGGGATTGAACCCAGGTCAGGCTTCTGCAAGGCAAATGCCCGAGTTGCTGTACTATAGCTCCATCCCCCTTTATGGCTTCTTTAACTCTCTCTGTCTGTAACATAGGTAGATCATTCAATTACTGTCTTCTCTAGTTCCATTTGCACCTGCTCTCATTCTTTTATAATTTATTTTGCTTTTGTTTACTGGGGGCCATACTGAGTGGTGCCCTGGACTCCCTGGCACTGTGCTAGGGACTCACCGTTTGCAGTCCTCAGAACCAAATGCAGCAATTTGGATCAAACTTGGGGTGGTAGCAAGAAGGCAAAATCCCCTGGATTTTCTCTCCCATAATTTTGGGGTTGGGGGTTGGGTGAAGGGTTCTGGACACATGGCAGAACTTAGGGTTTAATTCTAGCTCTGAGCTCATGGATCACTCATAGCAAGCTCAGGGAATCATGCGGGGTTCCAGGATCGAACTTGAGTCTGCCACATGGAAGGCAAACACTATACTATCACTCTGCTTCCTGCCCCCTCCCCTCCACTATCTTTTGGATCCAACTCTCTCATATTTTCATTTCTTCCCTGTGAATGGAAGGGAGTAAGTTTTCCTTTAAGGTTCTGCTTACCAAGATTTACATCATCTCTGCTGCAAAGAAGTATCCATCATGGTCACATAATTTATGTATAATCTATGTAAATACAAAGGAAGTGCACACTTCACATTATCATTCCAGTCTGGCAGCATCAGGTCTTTCCAGATTGCTCAGCTACATGAGCTTATAATAAGACTATACGTTAAGTATTTATCGATGTTTTCAGAGAAGCAAAAATCTTAAATTGTTCTTCCTAGAGTTTCCCTTTTAGGGAATCAATTTTGAAGATATTAATCCTTTCCAACCTGTATCCTCACATTTCATGTCCTGCAGACCAGGAGCCAGGTTCCATCACCTCACTTTCTGTCACTACTTGAATGCCACATCCAGCAGAGACTTTTCCACACAATTTTTGTCTTGTTTTGCTAGACCCATTATTTTATATGAATTCAAGAAAACAGAGAAGAAAAAATTAATTTGTTATGAAAGGAGAAAAATGCTTCTGAGGTGTCTTTATAGGTTCACGCAAAGGGCAACTGGGGAAGCTAGTTAGAGACGATCTTCGTTTTTCTAGCTTTGGAGTCTGGACTCTATTATCTGTCATAATCTCCAGGAGGAGAGTGTAAGTGTATCATGGGGTGAATAGAACAAGTCAGTGGTTTTGAAGTGACGGTATATCAGGTCTGATCAGTTTTTGTCACCTTTAGGAGTGTGAAGTTGACTCTGAAAAGGCCAAAAACTTTCTCCCTGGAAGGTCGCAAAGTATTTCAAGCTACTGATCTGAGTGGGACACTGAAAGCATTTTATGGTAAGGAGTAGTCGATTAAGTTGATGAATGTGGGATTTGTGTGTATGTGCTAAATGGGGAAGAGGATTCAATTTCCAATTGAGAACAGAAGATAGAAAATTAAGATGGACACTAGTTATCAGGGAGATGCAAATCAAAATAACGATTAGATATCTCACACCACAGAGACTACACATGTCAAAATGAATAAGAACAAGTAGTACTGATGCAGGTGTGGGAATAAAAACGCACTCATTCATTGTTGGTGGGAATGTCAACTGACCCAACCTTTTTGGAAAACAGCAAGATCGTTATTTTCTAGTTTCCTCAAGAAACTAGAAATTGAGCTTCCATATGACCCAGCAATACCACATTTGGGAATATATCCCGGAAGCCCAAAAACACACAGCAAAAGTTCCATTTGCACGTCCATGTTTATTTGTTTATTGCAGCACTATTCACAGTAGCCAGAATCTGGAAACAACCCAAGTGCCTGAGAACAGACTATTGGATAAAGAAACTATGATACATCTACATAATGGAATACTACACAGCCAACAGGAAGAATGTAGTCATGAAAATTGTTTATGTGTGAATGACATGAAGAATATCATGTTGAGTGAAATGAGTTAGAAGGAGAGACACACACATAGAATGATTTGCTATTATTTGTGGGACATATAAAAAAACACAGTATGAGACTCTTACCCAAAGACAACAGAAATGAAGACCAGGAGACTGATCCCTGGTGGGAAGATTGTCAGAAATGGGAAGAAGAGGGAGAGGGCAGTTAGGATGGAGAAGGGAAGGAACACTGACAATGGCAGTTGGGAATAATCACTCTGGATAAGAATTGAGTGCTGAAAGTAGGTAAAAGAATTTATTTATATGATAACCTTGTGATAGAAGGTGAAGACAAGTGCTGAAGTGCCTATCTAGAGGTAGACTGGGAATGGGGGCAGAAGTAGGGAAATTGGGGACATTGGTGGTGAAAAAATGTACAGTAGTGAAGTGCCAGGTATTAGAACATTGTTTGACTGAAACCTATCTTGAACAACTTTGAGATAAACAGTTTATCTCACCGTGATTTAGGAAGATGGAGGCCATCTACTGCTAGATATATTCTTATTTAATGGGATGTCGTTAGGAGTTAGATTCTATTTTTATGTACCAGTTCAGTACCTCTCTATAATCCAAAGTAAGCAGTGGAAATAAATTTTAATTCTGACTCCCTTTCTTATATTTAACACTATTTTTCCATATCGGAACTGAGAATATGCAATGCTAGTGGGGTAAGGAAAAAATCTCATTACCATCAAATTCTGTTCACATAGTACTGGGAATTTTTCATTTTCTCTTAGATCTCATGTTTTAAGACTCATATTTCCCCTTCAAAAATGAATATCTTATTGTTTTTGCATTGTTTTTCTCTCCAAGAACAAAGTAAAATCTGTCCTAGTTCGGCCGTGCAGACGTCATCCCCGCTGCTCCGGCTCCCTGTCATGGTCAACCCCATCGTGTTCTTTGACATCGCCGCCGATGGCAAACCACTGGGCCGCGTGACCTTCGAGCTGTTTGCAGACAAAGTCCCGAAGACTGCGGAGAACTTCCGCGCGCTGAGTACCGGCGAGAAGGGCTTTGGTTACAAGGGCTCCTGCTTCCACCACATCATCCCCGGCTTCATGTGCCAGGGTGGGGACTTCACTCACCACAACGGCATCCGTGGCATGTCCATCTACGGAGAGAAGTTTAACGATGAGAATTTCATCCTGAAGCACACGGGGCCTGGCATCCTGTCCATGGCCAATGCTGGACCCAACACCAATGGTTCCCAGTTCTTCATCTGCACTGCCAAGACTGATTGGTTGGACGGCAAGCATGTGGTGTTCGGCAAGGTGAAGGAGGGCATGAATATTGTGGAGGCTATGGAGCGCTTTGGGTCCAGGAACGGCAAGACCAGCAAGAAGATCACAATTTCCAACTGTGGACAAGTCTAAAGGCTCTCATTCTCTCAACCACCAGACCATTCCTTCCTTTTGCAGCTCTGGAGAACACCCTGTCCCCCACATGCTCCGAATGCCCTCTAGTCCCTGCAGTTCTCTCGATTCCACTGTTTCCTACACCCATTCCTTCCAAGTCTAGCTGGATTACAGTTGTTTGTGATTATAAAGTGAAAAATAAGTAAGAAAAAAAAATTTCTCCTAGTTCCTACTTAAATAATTCTCAAAATCCCTCTTAGAATATTACATCAAAGCATTTTCCTCATCCAGTCTTCTAATTATTCCACTATTCAGATGACTCTGAAAGTTCCTGACAATAACCCGGGTATTACTGTTTCTTTGAATGGAGCACAAGTGAGATGTGTAGCCAAAAGGAGTTCACAGCTGGGTCTTTCAACAGGTAAAGGTAAAGATAAAGGCCCTCCTGTTGATCGTCGATTTGCTCGAGCGTGCCCAGTAACGTCTCCATTGGAGACTTTGTTGTTACTGTGTCTGGCATATCGAATACTCTCGGTAGCTTGCCGGGCTCTCCGAGAGGGGCAGAGGAATCGAACTCGGGTCGGCCATGTTGGCCGCTTGTAAGGCGAACGCCCTACCCGCTGTGCCAGGTGGTTGTGATAATTATGTTCTGGGCTCTGAAGCTATCAAATCAGGAAAGTGTTAATGGGAGGTAGATGTGTCAGACAAACATGAATGGATGGTGGGGGTACATCAAATCACATCAATTAGATCCTCTCAATTCTATAAACAAAATTATTATTCATTTAACTTGGGGTTTGTGGGGCCCCCAATATTCTCATGGAGTCTAGCCCCCCCAGCCTGTACCAATTAAACAGAACCTTTCATATAACCCTCAATTTGACTATTGGGTTGTAGGGTTACAGAATCATTCTGACTATAAAGTTTTGTGAAGAATTCTATCTCTGATGCTGAGATTGTGGCTCTTTCCGTGACTGTTGTATTGGGGTTTTTGTTGACTATGAGGCATGCACAGTCTCATTTTACAATGTCACAAAACATAAATTCTCGTGTTCCTTTACTGACAAAATATTCTCATATTTTAATCTTATGAACTGTTCTGGCCCATTAACTTTGTGCTTACCAAGCTCTTGAACTACCACACACTTCCACATTTTCATTGTAGCATAATTTGCTTATTTTTTTTTTTTTTTGGTAGGGGGTGGGTAAGAGGAACTGAGCCAGTAAAGCTCAGTGGTTATTTTTACTCCGCGCTCAGGAATTACTCCTGTCCTGTATCAGAAGACCATCAAGTCAGCCACATGCAAGGCAAGCACCCTAACCTCTGTACTACATCTCTGGCTCCAATATTCTTGCTTTGGGTGCCTCCAATAGAATATAACTTGTACTATTCCTTCATCTTTTCTCTCCTGTAATTATTTTATTTGAACATGTCATTCATTAATAAAGTGTTTACTGTGAGTTCACAAAATGTGTGGGTGATATGACCTGTAATTTTTTTCATGTGAACATTTGTCATTTATTAATAAAGTGATAACTTTTTCGTGTTCCATGGTTTTACTATGTTTGCATTAGAAGGAATCTTTGTTCATCATTTTCACTGCTTGAAATAGAAATTGAGACCTCACACCTGCCCTCTTCCTCCAACATTAAAAAAAAAAGCCCACTACTGAGGTATTGAAGAAATGGCACTGCCAAAAGCTTGCAATTTTTGTTTTCTTTTCCATTGACAAAAGATGCAGGGATACTGGGATACTTTTAGCACTTTTGTTTATTATTTTCTGTATGGGAGTTGTCTTTCACTGGTGAATGAATGAGTCCTTAGTGGTATATTAGTTACCCAGAAAATCCATCATTTATCAGTTTTAGAAAAACTATATTATGTACTAGGAGGAAGTCTTTTATGTATAGTGTGTCTGAACTCAAATATTCTCTCTCCACAAACTAGCAGTGTAATCTTGAATAATATGTTGTTTATTTTCTTATAATAATACCATTAGGAAAAGTGTCCCACACTTGCTGGTGTTATGACAGAATAATTGTTGTGTACAAAGCACTTGCATCTGAAATGAATAATAAAATTTTATAGACTTACTGAAACATGGGCTGGAGCAATAGCACAGCGGGTAGGGCTTTTGCACGTGGCAGACCCAGGTTTGATTCCTCTGTCCCTCTCGGGGAGCCTGGCGAGCTACCGAGAGTATCCCGCCTGCATGGCAAAGCCTGACAAGCTCCTCGTGGTGTATTCAATATGCCAAAAACAGTAACAAGTCTCAAAATGGAGACGCTACTGGTGCCAGCTTGAGCAAATCGATTAACAATAGGAGGACAGTGCTACAGTGCTACTGTGCTACAGTGCTACTGAAACTTATCATCTATATCAGTGTCTCATAAAACTGCTTTTTACCTTCAGATTTCTAGGGTTACTTTTAACTAAAGCTTAGTTTCAGATCCCAGAAAGATTTGTGCTGCTATCGACTACATTTGATTGCCCTGGATAAATAAGGCTGCGTGCATGAGTGTGTACGCATAGTTATATGTCTATGTGCATATGTGTGTACCACAGAATCACGTTAAAATTCTACTTAATCCTTTGAAATTCTTCTTTGACCAAAAAATTCATTTGCCAAAAAAAAACCCCTGATATTTATTTGACGCAATATTGTTAAAATAGAGCAACTGTGTTTCATACGCCACCTATCATGCTAACCAAAACCCAGTATGATTTTTCAGCTATTACTTTCTCAGGGTGAACAAAATAAATATTTTAAGAATGTGTATTAGGTTAATTTTAACATTATAACTCTTGTTTTAACACATGTTGAGGGTCTGTGAGATAGTATAGGAGATAAAGCACTTGTCTTCCTTGTGAACAACCCCCACTTACTTCCTGGCACTGCATGTGATGGGAGTCAATGCTGAGTACAGAGCTCCAGGTACTATTGTGTGTGGACCACTGCTCTTCCCTCCACAGAGAAAAACAACAGAAAACATCGGAGGTTTTTTGTTGTTGTTGTTGTTGTTTTGTTTTTTTGGGTCAACCTGGCAATGCTCAGGGGTTGCTCCTCAATCTACACTCAGAAATTACTATTGGCAGTGCTCAGGGACCATATGGGATGCTGGGGATTGAATCCTGACATGCCGCATGCAAGAAAAATGCCCTACCCAGTATACAACCACACCGGCCCAAAAATATAATGATTGAAGAATTATCTTTAAATTTTTTTTATTAAATAAGTATTTATAGCTTCTTCTTTCACCTATCTTTATAATTCAGTTTTATTGAAATTTAATTTTAACTGAGCTTCGTCCAGATTACTATTTCAGTCACATATATTAGAAAGTAGAATTAAAATTGTGTGACTTATAGACCATGATGTAGAAAAACGTTTGTTTTCTTTTTCTTCGTTGCCCTGGTCAGCTTTACTTTGTAATGTAACGAGGTGACCCAAAGTTAACAGAAAATCAGGTGGTTGCTAACAGCAGGGAAGCAGAAAGAGACACTCCAAGGATGCAGGGACAAGATGCTCAGAGAAAACCTGAGTTCAAACAATGTCGCCATCACATATTGCTTTCTCAGTCACCACGTAGAAAATTATTTAACTATTCAAGGCTAACCATGAGCATCTGACTTATGTACTCCAATTGTGTTTGCTTGCTTTGACTAATGACAAAATTGATTGATGTAGCCAGGCAGAATGTAATAATAAATGTTTAAAGCTTTGCTTGGACTAACGTTTGGGGCTGTTCATTGCACGTAGAACCTTATTCTCAGGCTCAGCAGCTTCTACAGGTTAACAAAGGCTCTTCATTTGGGTAAACAAGTGCACTCAAGACTTCTTGGGTAAGCTCTCACAACAGCAATAGTGTCAATGTTTCCAGAAAAAAAAAACCACAACAAAAATCCCTATTCTTTTTTAGTGAGAAAGAGCAGGAAATATATGTGCATTGAACTTGTTGAGATCTTTTTGGCATTGTTACTACCAAATCTTCCTAACCCTAATTCAACCTAATGAAAACAGTGGAGGCAGAGAAACAGCTCAAGCAGTCGAGCACCTACCTAGAATGCGTGTAGCCTTGAGTTGGATTCCTGCCTCCCATACCCCAATGGAGTACTGCCAAGACTGGCACTGGTACCCTTGGTCACCACTGGGTTGTGACCCTTACATAGAATTAAAAGCTTTTTGAGGCTTTTATTTAAAGAATTAGAAGGGGGTTGGAGAAATAGTAGAGAGGGTAAGATGCCTACTTTGCATACAGCAATCCCCCCAGGTTGAATCCTAGCACCCCATTTGGTCTCCCAAGTCTGCCAGGATTGAGCCAGAAGTAAGTAAGTCCTGAGCATGGCCTCCTGTGGCCCAGAAACTGAAAGATTTGGGGGGGGGAAGTGAGCTTTTTGGTCTGTTTTCATTTATGTTTATTCATGAATAGGAATTTACAACATACTATCTTAGATTTTCTAATACAACGGATTCTAAGGTAGATGGTTTGAGTATGTACATTTGTGTGTATGTACATATGCATATTTATGTTTAATCCCTTACTGCGAACACTTTGAGAAATCGACCTAAACTTCACATTGAACCCCTGCCACCCTGTCACCCGATTGCTGTAATCTCCAAGGTTCTTACTTATTGAGACCATCTGCACTGAATTTTTTTTTCTTTTTGAATCACACCCAGCAAGGCTCAGGGCTTAATCCTGGTTCTGCACTCAGGAATTACTCTGAATTACTCCTGGCAATGTTGGGGGGGATAACAAGGGATGCCATGGTTCAAACTTGGGGCAGTCAAGTGCAAAATAAACTCCCTACCCACTGTACTATCGCTCTGTCCCCTGTACTGAATTATTAGCCAAATATTCTTCAGGGATATTCACCATTACTCTCCCTATGATGACCATTTTTCCAGTTCAGGATGAAGAACCTAGCTACAAAGAAATAAAATTTGAATTTACATGAACACTAGAAAAGATGCTCATACTAAGGGCTCCCAGTATTCAGAGGGCCCTGGCTTATTTGAACTCTTCTCCAAAGTATGTGAATCTCGTTTCCTCTTTCTCATCTCTGAGCTTCAAGTAACAGTCATGCCATTTTGTCTTTCTGCGGCAGATATATATCCACAGGGAAATATTTAGACTCAGAAGTCTATCAGAGCTCAAAAGATTCGCTACTCTGCATGAACATTTCTTTACGATGTGAAAATGCCTAGATCTCGCTCTAGGCAGTGATCAGTTTTGTTTGAGGATTTGCCATTGTCAGTGGAATTACCACATAACCCACACTCATTGAGATTTCACAGACCTTCCTTTTTCTCTTACTGAACACAATGTGAAATCTCTTTCTCCCTGCTGTTCTTTCCATGTAACCCAAATTTAGGATATTCTTAATTTCAGCACCACAACTACTACTCCTTTTGGTGGTGCTGTTCTTCAATTCAGATAATTCATTGCCTTTGTAGAAAAAAGGAAACAATTATTTCCCCCTCATAATTGCTTTGTCACTAAGAGTGCAGAATCAGAATCAGAATCAGAACATTTATTTTTTATGGGTCTTTAAGAATACCGAGTGTCCCAGTGAACCCTCTTACAGTGTGGAACTAAGGGTTCTGTCCTCTGCCTGGTAAGATGGTGCTCCCAGTGCTGCCTGGTGCCACTAATATTACCGGCTATGTCCTGATGG